CGCCGGCAGTGATGACCAGGTCGAAGGGCTTCCTTGGTTAACTACGGGTTTTGTGAGCATTACTGTCCAGTACAGAAGAATCAGCCTTTGGTTTATGCATACGCAATACGCAGAAAATGGAAGTAATGATCGATTGATTCGCATGTGATGTCATTAACCGCACGCGCCACGCGCTCGGAACTGCCACTAAGTCAGTGCACAGACCAGCTTTTCTATTTAAAATGGAATCCATTTTTGAATTTTTGAAGAGCGTCAGAACTACAATTCTCGTGAGGGATTTATTTTATAAGGCTGCTTCGGCAGTTGCCTCACTTAATTAATTGTAAACTGTGGTTATACTACGATATCAAAGCAGATGGCAGGGGAGTAACGAGAGGCATCGTTTCTCGCTTGTTCTGAGATCCGGACCGATTTCAGCCTAGGTCAGCCAAACCTTCTATTGTTCTGAGTTTGATCAACTGCCACCAAACCCGAGAGGATGGAGATGTACAAGCGCTGGTCCTCACAACTCGCTGTATGGCCCCAATACCCATCAAAGGGCCATTACAAATGAACTTGAATGAACATTTATTGGGTGATGTAACTCAAAAAGGTTGATGAAGGCCGAGCGATGTTTATCCTTTTTTAGAGCACTCCGTTAATTGTTTACACTTTCAGTACCGACCGCTAATAGACCTCGTTGTGACCTGCAACATAACAAAACTAGTATAGGAGGCAAATACACTAATGGATAACCGATAAAAAGGATAAGCCTTTGGGCGCTGATTGTTCCCCTTTTGGGATGCGTCACGCATCCTATTTCCTGAAGAATAGCAATGGCATTTTAAGTGCACTGTGACCTAGATGGTGACTCCTGGAGGTCCGCCGATATACGGGCCATATATGGTTTATACTCTGCAAGCCTGGTCCTAACAAACCGACCCTTGATCAGCACACGTCCTACCGTTGAGGAAAAATTTTGCAAAGAGCGACCTCCCCAATTCCCTCTTCTTCTAGCTCCCCCCCCCCTCCCCCCTTTCCTATCCTATCCACCATCTTGTTACAACTTCCTACACTTTTTTTCAGAGTTTTCTGAAAATTCTCCAGTTCTTCTTCAAAAAGAAGAACTGCTGTCGAACGTGGGGATGGGGAGGGAAGTATTCGAGAGATCTAGGTAGCGAAAGTGAAAGCGAAGAAACCGAGAAAAGTTAATAATCGGAAAATATTTTTTAAAGGCACCTACGCCTTCCCCCCCCCCTCCAGCGAGCATATACGAACCTCTCCAAGGCTTTCCAGCGAATGTACTACACGCCCTGCTCCGAATGAATGAAAGGGATAGTTGGACTGGCGATGAGTCGATCCAGGAATCTGTCCGGAAGGTGCTTGCTATTGGCAACCACATGCCACTGCGCCTGTGTAGCATAGAGATGCATGAACTTCCACCACCTGCCACGACTACGCCTGTGCTAGCATAGAGATGCATGAACTTCAACACACTGTACAGTACTGTACTATCCAGGTAAATATTCATTAAGGTATCAAAGGGTGCCGTCCAGCTGTGTCTTTCAATCCATTTATCTCCTTTTTATTGGTCATTTTAACAACCGAGCCGCTTTCGAAAGAGAGGATGGCGCAGTTTGGCTTGGTGGGAGCACCCAAATGGTACCTAGCGAATCCTGTAAAGACCACCTTGTGAACACCGGTAAACTGTCATAGCCGAAGAGGGTCACTACCACAGCAGCACCACAAGGGTTCACATTTCTTGTCAAAAGTGAAACCTGACCTGAAGGGACCAATTAGAAGTGGAAACTTTCCCAAGCCGGAAAACGCCGAGAAGATAAAACCGCCAATTCAATCAACCCCATGGAATGCGCTGCGCACTCAATACCTGTTCAAGTCGTGGAGTTATTCGAATGGGTATCTGGCCTGTACAGTGGCTCTGTGCCAGTCAATGCTATAGAGACTAGTGTTTTCTAGTTTCTGGCCACGCCCAGCTGGAAATAATCTTTGTGAAAGGGCTGTTTAGCTAAAGTGCAAATGCCGACTCGGTTGTGTAATGGTTAGCACACTAGGTCGGTAAAAAAGTGCAGAGTCGTGGCTTGGCTGGGGCCAAGTCGCTCATTTAGGACGTAACAATCGTGCGATGAAACGTGCCGTTGAAAATGAAAGGCTCGGTTAGCCTGGATGGAACTTGATCTATGAACCGCGCCTGCGATAGTGGCGCCTCCTGTTACTGCCTTACTTCCGCCAATATTCCAACGAATATTTGGGTCTAGGGGGTTAATAAGGAGATCGAACAAACGTTAGCGCTAGACGGATGCAGTACAAATCCTGCACTGATTGCAACCAGATATTTATCCATGCCTATCTGACTGTTCCTATGAGGCTACAGACAAGGGGTAAGCGTGTACCACTTGATAACTAGTTATGGAGTGCGACACGCGCATTATCCTAATCTACTTTCATGTGTACAGTCGGCCGCACACTCGTAAAAGGTGTGCGTGTGAGTGAAATGAACGCATGGCAGTTATACGGATACGATAACTTGTGATGAGGTAGATGGTAATGGTAATGGTAATGGTCTGCAACATCTATTTAATGGGTTACCAAATGATGGGTTCAATTCCAAAAGACCCGTTTAGAATCGACGTTTTTCAACATTCTCTTGAAAACTGCCACTTTCTCGATCGTTAGACAGATCATACTTCACTTACAGTACTTCACAGGTCAGACACTAGTCACGTAGTTACAGTAGGAACAAAATATTCTCTAGAATCACTAGGTACTGTAAAGTAACTGTGTATTACTGCAAGAAAAGCGAATTAATAAAGAGATCACTGATGCTTTCAGTCGAAGAAACAGGCACCGTTACAGAAATCGATACATTACAACTTCATCCATTACTATAATAGCTCTGGAAAAAAGCATACCAGCTGAAATGGCTGTCGATACAGCAGTCGGTGTGAGATTTGCGTGCACAACTTCACCAACCTGCTTCGGCAGTATCTCAACTTTGATCGGGCAACCTGAAAACGTGCACAAAAAACGTTCACTGTCTGTTCTGTCAACACGATTCGCAAAGTACAAATATTTCAAGAATTCTAAACACTGTCTTATATACCCGTTATTCTTACATTTTTTAATTACTGTAAACAAAATTTGGCGACAGATGAGCTCATTACTTATTGACGCCATTAAAGTATGCGTAAGAAGTTGTTATTATTGAAAACCGTACAAAATCGTGGGAAAAAAGAACGTACCATGTACTTGTTCACCATTGAACGTTACATCTATCACATATGTACCAGGATGTTGAGGAATGAACGTAACAAGGCATCTGAACAATTGGGATCAAGTAGCAAAGTAGTACTGTTTCAGCGTTTCGGCTAGTACTTAGTCTTACTTAACTACCCACTACTTGTGCACCAACTTGTACTAGTTCTCCTACAATCACTGAAGAACCCCAAGGGTTGACTAGAACACATGGCTCATGTGATAAAAAGGAGGAATGAACTGCAATTTCTTCACATTCCAGCTGTTTCCTTCCTTTTTAGTAAGCTAGTTACATGATATTATACGATACTGTATGATACAGTACGATACAGGCTAACTAAGTGATATGATATGGTAGTGATAAGATAAAGAAGTTGTCGATTGTTAGACAAGTCATGCTTCACTTACAGTACTTCTCAGGTCAGACACAAGTCACGTAGTTACAGTAGAAAGAACTATTCTCTAGAATCACTAGGTACTGTAAAGTAACTGTGTATAACTGCGAAAAAAGCGAACAAAATAGAAAGAAATGAGAGTTTAGTAACTAGATACCTTCCGGCGCCTTGCATCTGTACATTGTTAGGCACGCGTCCTTGATTGACAGAAATTTCAAGTTGTCCTTTACCGGCATCAACGGCATCAACTGCAGGTATAACATATAATTGTGAATAGTAGTTGAATTTTCTTCGTCGCTCCTCAACCTCATGCTCAGCACGATGATGATGGTCGTCGTCAGTCGGCCCACTCATTACTATTTAGACTGGAGTAGGCTCGGACTGACTGGGAAGTTATAGCGGCAGTGGAAGTGTAGAAATGGCTGAAGAGTGAAGCCGGGGCCCACTCAGATAGTACCAACTGATCTGATCAGAAAGTTGCAACTGGTATGGGTACGGTGTGCGTGTGCGTATATGTGCTAGTGCGCGTCGGTGAATAATGTAAGGTACGTGAGTCCCCGTATGAGAGGGAAATGAGTGTAGAGAGTGAGGCAAATGAATGCGGGGCTACCGTGTGTGTGTATGTGTGTTGGGCTGGGCTGGGTGGTATGATGGGGAGGACGAGAGGAGCGACGACGACGACGACAACGACGACGACCGACTCACCGACAAACTGTACAGGATGCCCGACTGCACCGCCCCCAAGCGGCTCGAGCCTCACACGATCTGCTGAGTAGCCGGCTACCGACAACGGGCTTCCATCCACTTTACGACCAGCTATCCATACTGTTAGATGATGTTCACCAACCTGAAATAAAAACTCTCTGCTATCATCACCTTTCAATTTCAACAAAAATTCCTCTTTTTCTCGTCACACTCCAATTTTTAACAAGCACCCTCATACTGTGCTGTTGCATTCCCGAAATTCTTCATATTGTTCAAGTGCAACTTATACTGCCATGAAAAATCGCCATCATCTTAGTCATAGCAGCTGTGCCAGGAATGCTTGAAAAAGGTGTCACAATTTAGTAGAAGACGGGGGAACTGGTACTGAAGAAATAAAGGCCTTCTACATCACAAATCGTGCCCAATTCTAGTTGCATTCATAACCCAGAGAGTAATCGAAATCGCCGATCGGTGCCTAGTAATCAGTTCACTGTACCAGTAACCAGTTATCAAGTCCTTTTTTGATCGGCATCAAACCAAAATCGCCAATCGCCGAACTGAATTTGCACTAGGAACGGACGATCATGGAAAAATGCCTGCATATTTCCATAACGGTACCATTTCACACCAGGATCTTCCCAAACGTCCACCCACCCATTCACCTTCCGCTTGAACGTTCACATTCGGTCCGGATTCCCTGCCTACAAAATGTGCTCTACTAGTTTTGTCATCGATCAATAATCGCAAATATCGTTTTGGCGCATATTCGGGAGCGCATCAATTGCTGTCGCATTGTATTCAACACCGCCCGCACTTTTGCAACCGAACATTCAATTTGATCGGAATGAGCAGGCCGGACATATGGGCAGCCGGTCCTTTGAACACTTACACTTCCTGCTCCCACGCCCAAGGTTAACCAAGACGCTCGACGGCAGTTTTATTGGGAAAAACGCAGGAATTTTTGGGAAAAATACCGAAAAAGTAGCAGGAAGTTGGGGAAATATAGGAAACTGGTTGGTCGGACGAGAAATGGTGGAGGGGGTCGCACCAAGGGAGGGGGGAGGAATTTTGAGGAGGGCTCGTATTTCGCTAAAATTCTCCCCAGCGGATGGACGTGCGCTGAAAGTGGTGATCTCTTAAGGGTATCTAGTCCACAGAGAGCAGTTTCGACAATTTCTCACCTGTTCGATACGGTATTCTGCTGTAAATCGTGCATTACCACGTGGTATTATACGTACAGGAAACTCTCGTTGATCAGGTCCTGAAAAGAAGAGCTATTTGGATTGTATGCGAGCAAATTCGGTACTAGAGTCTGTATAGATGGCAGAGAATCAAATCGATTTTCGGTCAAGAGATAATTATCTAAACGGGTGGAACAGTGACTGTTATGGAGATGAAATAGCTGAAAACCACTGTGACACATTATGATGTTTATGTGGACGAGTTTTCACGTCCCTTCAAAAAATAATCGATAAGAGCGGAACCAATCGTTCGCTCACAATTTGTGGAGAGGGCTGTGATCACTGTGATCCATGTCGCCGGGAAAATTGCGCTAGGGGGGTGGTCGTAAGGAGAGGGGCAGCCAACACCAAAGAGCACAAAGGTGTCAGTAGCACTACAAAAATCAAAAGGATTAATTAACCGTATCAATAAGTTGACATAAGTGCTTAATTACGTAGAGGACTGTACAGTACAGTACAACTTGACGTGGGTAGGCCATTCAGCGCACGTCCTGCTGCTGGGGAAAATTTTCGGAAAACACAACCTCCCCTTCTCTGATACGACCCCTCTTCCCGATCCTACCTACAACTTTCCTAGATGTTCCCAAATTCCTATAACTTTTTCCAGTTTTCAGGGATTTCTTGAAAATTTTCAGTTTTCCCCCAAAATTAGATCTAAAAGGCAAATACGATCCTCTCTCGCCTTATGGCGTCCACGAGAAACAGAAGAACCAACTATCAATAAATTTTTTTAATCAGAACAAAAGCGATCCCCCTCCCCCCAGCGACCAAATACGACCCCTCCACTGAGGATTCCCTAATGTACGACGTGGCCTGAGGCCGTGTGCCTTTCTGAGCCCTGTGAACACATCTCACGGCGAGGACAAACATCACGTGGGATTTGCACCATCCCATCACCTCTGTGTGGGAGTGTAATGCATGGCGCATCCAGGGATGAAGTTAATGGGTGCTAAACCATCCATGGACTAAGTCTGTTCCACGACGGAATCCGTTGCGGATGCACTCTCCATTCTTTAGATGCGCCCACTTGAAATGGTACCAGGAAACGGGTTTTTGGCGCTGCTCGAAGTTTCCCCAATAAGTCCCTAACGCATTCATTGCATAAAGCCGGGGACTTTCAAAGAAATTTCAAGTGGTTCCTGGTAAAGGAAGTCTCTTCTTTTCAAAACTGTTCTTATGTTTGCAAACAGTTACGTTTTACGAATTTTGCCATCGTTCAAACTAGGAAAACTCTCATCGAATTTTGAAAAGCCCTCAACACATCCTTAACGCTGGACATCTCCTAAAGCAGACAACCTTCACTCAGCACCCTTTACAATCGCGTTTTCTTTTTCCCTAGCGGTCTACCTCTGAGAAAGTTCTGGCTCTTCCAAGAGAAGCTGCTTCACTTGAGGAAGTCTCGGCAAATGTGCTCCAACGCAGGTAGCAGACGGAGGCGCGCCTATTCAGTATTCAGATGGCTCGGCTGCCACTTTTTCCCGCGCGCGCGAATTTGAACACAACAATGTGTGGGACCTACCCTCACTCTCTACTAGTGGTCCCTAAAAAAGTGTCCGAAAGTGTTGAGGATTCCTAACTAGCCTAGTTAACACAGCAACGGTAGATAATGGTAAATAATCGTTTTAGATTTCGCTATTTTCATCTGTTTAACATCTGAGCCGTATGGCTTTCCATGGAAGCTAAAGTGACACACTTAGTGGAACACCGAAATGTTTCATTCTCCTGTACTCCTCCTATGAATAAAGGGAGCAGCTTAGCTGAAACCCTGGCCTGTTAACCTCCGAAGTGCTTGAAATTCCACTCATGCAGAGTTTCTTTAGTCAGATGGCGTTCAGTGCTGGAAGGTGCTTAGAAGCCAAGAGAAATAGTTAAGTTACCATAGGTTTCCCTCCACGTATGTTTCCGGAAAAATGCAAATAAAAAGACCAAAAACGCATGAAGATAAGACCGAAAACCAACAACCTGTAGATAAAGAGGGGGGGTCGTAGAGATCTCGAACGTGCTCCCGGGGCCCCGACGATGGCCCTATCATATCAATCACAGATGTGAGTCATACTATAGGAGGATCGAGTTATCTCGCTTTCCCAGAATAGCGCAAAAATTTAGCTTTCCTACGTTTAGATTACTGACAAGTATTAATGTGTAACGTAAAATATTCACTCCGAAGTATATAGAAGTGACAGGCGCCCACCTGACAATGCGCAGGTCTAAATCTCAGACGTCTCGGACCCCGAGATAACCAAATCTCAGCCACATTGCTAACCCCGGGAAGTCAGTGTTAAGAACCAACCCCCACCTTATAACGGACCTTGGCAAAAGTAGGAGGCATGGTCATCCCTAAGAAGGTCATTCCAGGGCAGGTGCTTCATGTAGCTGTCCATTACTGTAGACAGCTGGATACGGTAGAAGTTAGCTGCATATCATTAGCGAGTGCTAAAATTCTCGCTTCAGTAACAGTCTCCCTCTCTCGTGACCGAATACTGACGTACGAACGTGCATGTCTACAAAGATGAAAGTACACTGTAGAAACAATAGGCTGTCGCAGGAAGAACATTTTGCACTTTCTACTAGTTTGTTGTTAATTTTTATCCGAAAGGTTACATTTCAGAGCTCATAACTCTTGCTATGACGCTGTGAGATGGTATAGATGAACCACTTCCTTGGAATAAGGAAAGATAGAATATAAGTTCGCCGTTGATCAATCCCTTTGTGGGATGCGGCACGCATTCTACTTCCATTCAGAATCGTAGTGGGTTATTGAATGCGATGTGGCCTATACAATGACTTGCGGTGGCCAGCCGATGTACAAGTCCTCCCAGACGAATCTGGTACCAATTTACCGTCCCCGGAGGGTAGAAGGCTTGGTTGGCCTGGGCGGGTGTCGACCCGGGATTCGAACCCGGCGCCGCGCGAGTGGTAAGCGCGCCACTTGTCACTACACCACCTCCGCCTCAACCACTTTGGATAGAGTAATTTAAAGGTCTTCACAAAGTGGTTTTAACTAGCTTCAGCAAGTACTATTTGGTGCCCCCATCAAGCCAAATGTGGCGAAATAAGCATGAATTGCATAATAAGCGAAGCAAAGAAATGAGTTAGTCAGGAAGTAATTAAACAGACCATAAATTTTCGCCTGGATATCGCTGAGTTCCAGGCCTTCGCCATTGATCTCGAATGTGGCAATCTTATTGACTGGAGCTCTCACTAGACCGGCACCGGATAGTTCAGAGTAGTACGATGTAGTCCTACAATACAAACTATGTTTAAAAATAAAAAAAATGGAAGAAGGGAGACCGCCGTAAACAAAGGCCGCTGAAGGAAAAAATGAAACAGTGTGGAATGCGTGGCGCATCCCAACGTACCGATTAGACTCGTGCCTCCTTTCTGGTCGATCTTCTACTGGAATGTGCCATGGACTGCCGGCCACCTCTTCGCCGTTAAACCGCATTTCGATAGTATGAGTGACGCTCTAAAAGAGAGCAAAATTTCATCGAATTCAGGCTCTTTAGCCTATTGAGAGAACACTTTGAGGGATTTCACTCGACACAAATCCTCCGCTAATTAGATTTGCACTCTCAAAAGACCCATTCACTTTGCCATACCTGAGTGGGCGTAAATACGGCTTTGTATTGCCGACTGACGATCTCTCGAACCCGGCATGGTACTCGACCTCCGTTGATCATAATTTCCAGATTTCCCGAGCCCGCAGACGAGGCGTCAACTGGAATAATGTAGATCTTATAGTGATGGACCACTAATGTATAATAATCAGTAGTACTGTGCTATGGTCTTACTTTCAACAAAATATGATAAACATGAAAAGGCACCCGAATTGATCAAAAAAAACTCTGAAGACTGCGAAAAAAATTACAAAAAAAACATTGACATTTTTTCTCCGATTTGGCGCAAGGGATCATGGTATCAGGTTCCTATGACCCTATAAGACGGTCCGAGCACGTCGTTCGTTGGGGATCCCGAGCAAGGAGGGAGCTGGAGGTTTGACGCCGAGGAAGTAGCCGGTAGCCCATGGGACATATCAGTTGAAGATCGTCCAGGAGGCACGAATCCAACCTCTACGTTGAGCTCTACGGTATTTGCGCTGGAGGGTGGGGGAGGGAGGGAGAGGTGGCATCTGCCTTTGGAAAAGTTGACTTTGTT